TTTTTTTTTTTTTTTTTTTTTTTTTTTTTTATGTTTGGAGGCTGGAGCAATTCTGCTAAGTAAGTTAAATTTACTTTAAATATATATTTTTTACAATTCGATTGCCGGCTCTCCTTTCATCATATAACCAAATTCCTTATCTTTCTGACACTAGCTTAGATAATTAGAGCACGTGACTACGAACCATGATATCTGAGGTTCGAATCTCTCATTGTCATTATATGTTTATGAAAAAGTTTACTTTTTAAATAGGTACGTCTCAATTTTAAAAAGTTAAATATAGTCCACAATTTTGTTTTCTGGATTTCTTATGTAGCTTATGTTTGTCCCTTGCATTATTTTGTCTATAATTTATTTTTTACGAATAAGTATATTTCGATCTTTTGAGAGAGAGTGTGTGTGAGCGAGTGAGTGGGAGCAACTTTTTATAATGGTTATCGTGTAATTCTCATACATTTAACTTGATGGAATTAGGTTTTACTTTAATGGTGCGTTTGATTGCAAGGGTGGAAAATATGTGTAAAGAAAGTGTTTTATAGGGAAAAGATTTGTTTAGAAAATGTTTTGTAGGGAAAATGATTTCAAGTGTGTTTGATTAGTATACTTTTCAACCCGAAAAATTTTTAAATTTTCTATTCGTTTAGCTTTGTTTTACATGAAAATTGTTCATTAAAGTGACAATTTTTTCCACACTTGGTTATAAAATTTGTTTCCATAGCCAAAAAGTAAAAAACAAAAAAATGTTTCCTAAAAAATCTTTTTTTTATCAAAGTTTTGTGTTCGTTTGGCTTTCGTTTGCATCAAAATTGTCGATGAAAGTGAAATTTTTTTTTTACACTTAGTTATGAAATTTGTTTCTATTGCTAAAAAAAAAAAAGGTCAAACATCCCAGAAATTATTTTCCCACCTAAACCTTTGCCTTTCACGCATGGAAGTAGGCTCGTAGGTGGAAAAAAAAAAGTGGTAATTTCCATGGCAAAAAGTGGCCATCAAACAACACATTTGCAAGGAAAAGGAAAAGATATTTCATTGGGTGTTATCAAACACTCCCTAAACTTTGATTGTTTTCAAGAAATTGCAGTGTGACGTGTGATAGTTTGGTGAAAGTGTGGAAAAATTTTACCATTGATGACAAATGAAACAAGAGAAATGAAAGATCGAAGACTAGTTTAATATTTGGAGATGTTAGATTTTGATTTTATTTTTTGGTCAAATAATTAATTTTTTTTAGAGTTGCTTAATTTGACCGATACTAACATTGCTCTTTCTTTGACTCTAAGATTTTTCTGTTATTTATTGGGGAAGTGTTAATAATTTTAATAGAGACTCCAGACGCAACAAATATTTTATTAGAAATATTTCATTTGAGGTCCCTCGCCTTTAATAAATGATGCAAGTAGGTTCTCAACCAACCAAATAGAGCACCTGGCTCCCCAACTTTTCATAAATGTGCACGTTTTTTTCAGGTATTCTCATCAATTTGTGAAGACTCCAGCTGAGATTTTTTCACTAATAAAATATATGTATAGTCAGCCACACACAAGGAGATTTTCTTCTTTTTTTTTTAACGGAGGAGTAGTTGATCTTCCACGTCTATAAATTTGAATTCAATAACGGCGAAAAATAGTCCAAAAAGGTGACTCGACTTTTGAGTAGATACAAAATATATAAAGCACCCATCACCTCCATGTTCTTCTCACTCAAGCTCCGCCGCTAGAACAATGGCCCTGCAATTATGGGAGGTCCTAAAAGAATCGATTACAGTATACACAGGTCTATCTCCATCTACTTTCTTTTCAGTTCTTTCTTTGGGGCTTGCCATTTACTACATGATCACAAATCTATTTGGGTCTTCCGATGACGTGCCCGGGTCTTACCAAGAAAGGTCCAAAGAACCCGAAGAGAAGGTGCAGCCTCTCCCTCCTCCGGTTCAGCTTGGGGAAATCACTGATGAGGAGTTAAAGCAGTATGATGGGTCTGATAAAAGTAAACCTCTGCTCATGGCTATCAAGGGTCAGATTTATGATGTTTCACAGAGCAGGTATATTTGGATTTTTCAAGATCATTTTCGCATGTTTTGATGTTAAAGTAACTAAATGTCAATAATTAAAAGGTCATTTGTTGTGTTACAGGTTGTTTTATGGACCAGGTGGACCTTATGCTTTGTTCGCCGGAAAAGATGCTAGTCGAGCTCTTGCAAAGATGTCCTTTGAAAAAAATGATCTTAATGGAGATCTTACTGGCCTTGGTGCTTTTGAGCTCGAGGCCTTGCAAGATTGGGAGTACAAGTTCATGAGCAAATACATCAAGGTTGGAACTGTCAAGTCTAGCATACCAGTTAGTGATGGAGCAACTAATGGTCAAGCAGCAGAGGCTGCTGAAACCGATTCTACTAAGCCCACAGAAGATGGTCCGTCAGTAAGTTCTGTCCCGGAAATTGTGGAAACCGTGTCTAACGTTGATGCGGGCAAGAAAGAGTGATTTTCGTCGAGGGGCGAGCCATTATTCGTGGAGGTGTTAATAGATCACAATATTTGGCTGCTTGCATTTATGGGTGTTCGTATTTAGAGTAGGATACACCTTATATAATTGAACTTATTGAACATCCAGTTTGTTGTATGAAATAATAATGCTGTTAAATCTTTACTTATTATCGTTTATCTGTGGGTGGTTTTGGCATATTATTGTCGTTTTCGACAAGGAGAAATTTATGGTGGCAATTTGCAACTTTTTATCGTTTTTGGTTTCAATCAATTTTATCAAACTTAGACTTGCATGTTGAAAGATGGTTGGATCAACATTAGGCGCAGAGAACTCGTCTGCTCGAGAGAATAAATTCTTCTACGGGAGAAAGTGAAATGGAAAATCTCGACTAAGGCCTATCCAACTTGTTCTAGTTTCACTCCTTTATTAGCCGATCTAGAATCCCCAAACAGGAGAAGGGGGTGAACCGGCCCTCGTGATGCATTTAGAACAAAGAACACAATCTCTTTCTACAAATTTAAACCAGTTTAGTTGTATCTCACTTGTCTCTCTTTCTTGATCATGTCCACTCTCATCCAATTCAATGCATAGCTGACATGCTATAAATCATAACCATCCAGTGTGTATGGCCTTAATCAAGAAATACAGCTTACACTTTGTTCATCCAGCACAGACCTCATGGACGAATGTCACATATTTTCTTCATGATAAATTGAGAATATAATAAATTTTCAGGTAAATTTATACAATATTACAGAAAGGAAAGCCGCAACACATCGTAAAATACCTATTTGAGTCGATACATGTCCAACAGCACATCATGTAGGAACCAAATGAATACTGATTTACAAACAAAAGTAACAAGAAATTAATACTTCTAAACAGCACTAGATCCTGCACGAACTCTCAACATTTGAGTTCTCTTGCTTCTCTCCATAGCGTCGACTAGCCAGCTTACACTTTCTTTAATCCCCAGCCTGCAGACAAATTTCAACTTCTAATATTTTCAAGCTTCACTCGTTATGTGAAAAAACAAAACAAAAACAAAAGGGTCTAAGGCATAATGAATTCCAGAATGTTTTAAGATTCAAAGTATTTGTACATCAGAAGTCATAGGTCATTAAAAATACTCCACTCAATAATCAGATTCAAAAGGTTTTTTACTTACCCATCAATTGCTGAAACAGCTTGAAATGTGTAAAGTCTCTCGTCCAATTTTTTGAGGTCCAGGTACCGAGAAAGTTCTTCTGCGGACGCAGCTTCTGCACGATCCTGAAACGAAATATAAGGTTATAGAAGTGAAGCAAGGTCTTTCACTTGTACACTCACAATCTGTTAGCTTAGAATGCAAATATGATGATAATTTTCAAGTTTCCTCAATTTTCCACTTTGCAAAGTGGTGCCCAGAAACAGTGGATCTTTCAAGCTGACGAGGAGCAACTATCAAATGACACGTGCTGCAGACACGGATATACCGATGCATAATTTTCAAGTAGGAAGTAGATGCTTGGGTACACGTCAATAAAAATATTACATTAAATATCTTATATTTACATTTTATTTGTTTTTTTCTATTTCGATGAAAAAATACTCATGTTCAGTTTTGATTTTTAATTTTTTAGATATAACCTTTTGATCACGAGGAGTGACTACTTGTTGTACTTAGTATCGTTAGTGAGACTGTATTAAATAATTGCATATAGTAGATATAAACAGATTAAACAGCTCTGTTTATTATTTTATACAAATTATTTATAAATAGAAAATTTCGTACTTTTATATTCTAAAATTTACAAAATCAGGCTTGTCTTGTTGAAGAAATGTGCCTCAGTGCCAGAAAATATAGGACACACGATGCAGTGTGGTGGCTGTGTGTCATTGAAGTATCCATGGTGGAAATTGAAAAAACAAAAAAAAGGAACATCCTGCGTGGTGTATCGAATAATCCTCAAGTTTCCAAGGAGTTTTGATGTTTCATATGCATCGGTTCATGCTTCATAGAATGACAGAATTTGATTGATAATACTAACATTAATAAGCAAGATGCAAGAAGTCTATCACAATCAATATCGGATCATAGAATCTATGCTCTCTCACAATGCACATTGGATAAACACAGAATTGGGAAAAGCAAAGTAGATTTTCCTCAATCACGATTCCCTTGCTTTAGGTCAACGCTAAGCTGCTAACTTAGTGGGTGACAGAAGGAACAGCTTACCTGTTTGTTTGCTAATATCAAAAGTGGGGCTCCTTGCAGATCCTCATGCTGAAGAACCTTCTCTGAACACCATATTGAAAATTAGGTCAGTGAACACGGTCACAAAATCATACTAAAAAGGCAACAATAGTAACATGCATCATCATCAGTTAAGCCAACATACATTTCTCCCTAGCAATGCTTACCGAGTGCAGATTTTGAATCCTCAAAACGAGAAGGGTTAGCCGCATCAACTACGTAAATCACAGCATGTGCCTCTTCATAATATTTCTCCCAAATTGAGCGAAGTCCAGGCTGATGAAACATAAAGACTTTCCATCAGTGGTAGAACTCTCAGGATGAAGTAAACATAGATAAAGAGAGCATGCTAAGAAGTTTGACCATGAAATAACAGCTGAATTCAGTACTTCAAATTAAGAAAACTAAATCCAGTTTCCATTAGTCAAAATTGAAACATCAAGAAAGAAGAAAACCAGGATAAGTCTCGTCATTTTGAAGGTAAATTAAAAGAGAGTTTCCACTTAAAAGTTGAAAGGATATACTTCGTCGTGGAAAATAACAAGATAAGAGCGCATTTCAAACCTGACCTCCCAGGTCCCAGAATACAAGTTTTGTGTTTGACAATTCAACTCGACCAATGTTGAGTCCTACGGTTGGAACAATTCGATCAGCAGGAAGCCCTTCCACGTTACAGTAATGTGACTTCAATTTCTCCAGTAATGTCTGCAAATTTACATTCAAAATGAGTTGAAAACAATTATAGCTATTAGAGTTGACTGCCAACATGTGGAGCTTATATACTTTTATAAAAGACAAGATGGCATGTCTCTGTGGATACAAGGCAAGAAGGGGGAGGGGTGAGGGGGTTTGACACCATAAATTCCATGGATTGTTCTATATTCAAGCATCAACTCATACATCAAACGATGTAGCTGAGAATGACAATTCTGAAAAATCTTGTGTTTGTAGAAAACGAATGATACTGGAGCATATTACCGTTTTTCCAGCCTTGTCAATTCCAAGAATGAGAACATGAAACTCCGTCTTGCTAAAAGCGTACTTCCACAATCCATAAAACAGAGAAAACATTTCTCTATTGTTTTATTTACTCTGTTATATATATATTCTATGCAACCCTCAGAGCATAAATGTAGAATTCAATATCTTCTAATCATAATAAGCTGCAGCAGTAAAACATAATTAGCCAGTATTTCAAGGAAAACGGATATAAAATTATAAATAACAAACCAATGACAACAATTTAAAACAACTGATCTTTCTACACATAAATTTAATGTCCATCTTTTCTAAACAAAACTTAATAAACAAGGAAAAAGTTCAATTATGTAATTCGCTATTCTACCTCATTTTAGGCTAACCTAACTTTTTATTAATATGATTATCAAACAAATATCTGCTGCCTACACCCCAAAAAATAATAATTCATAGGAAAGTATTATACAAAAAAATTTAAAAGTTATCTAAATGAGAAAAACATATGAATACGGAACAAGTTATAGTTCAATGATGATGATCTTAAGGTTTACAAATTAAGAATGCCCATATTTGGCACATACAATTGTCTCGATGTAAGCAAGAAAATACCACACCGATGTCTTAACCATACCCAATTATATAAACTTGCCGACTAATTATGCTAAAGAATAAAACTCGACGAAAATTCTACTGCTTGAAAAAATTATTAAAAAAAAACAAATCCTAAATATGATTGATTTCGAACCAAAGTTACCATACAAGATCTTTTCTACAAACCACATGATTTCTATAGGTTGTAGACCCAAAAACCTAAACCAAAAGCAAGACATTATAACTGAATCTGGACGCTGAAATCAATATACAAGAAATTGCGCGCATAAAAGTATAGGATCAAGATCTCCAGATCATAACATAAAAATGAATCTAACCACAAATAAAAAGCACGAAAACATCGAAATTCGAAAGATCCCCCCGTTGATTTCATAAAAAAAAAAAATGAAAATTTGGGATAAGAAAGAACGACGAAGAATGGAAACATAATAAAATTCACACTGTTTTGCGCGAGTCAAAAAAAGAAAAAAATTTAAAACTGAGAAATTCATCAAAAAATCATACTTTGTCCTTGGTACTGAGAAGAGATTGAATAGTTTGAGGCGTCTGGAGTTATTTTGCCATAAATCGGATGTCAAGGTTATGTGTTTGCGTCTTGCGTGGATGCAATTTGTGGCTCGTAAACACGGAACGGGCATGTACATTTTAGGGCTTGTTTGGGCCCCTTTTTTTCCCCCAAAAAAGGTATTTTATAAGTGTTAAAGTGAAGAATGTGTAGTTAAAAAATAATAGAAAATTTTGAATTTGAGTATAATATTATTTTATTAAAAATTTGTTGATGAAATGAGGTCAAATCTGTGTTTCATAATACATTTTGATAAAAAATGATAGTTTCTTAAAAAATAATCATATTATATGTACATCATCTTTTATATTATTGTTTACGTTGTGTCATGTGACAACGCATTATTAGACAGTTTAAAAAAACACTCTTTTTCATCCACAATTTTTTTAAAACAAATGGAATGTCAAAAGCAATGTAAGCCATTCACTTGGCATTTTCCTTTACAAAATTATATTTGTACTCTTGTGTTTAAATTGCATTCATTTTAATGAGTAATGCTACACGAACATCTTAAATGACATCTCGGTTGACTGAACACACACACACACACACATGGGAGTCAGCATTATTTAACTCAAGCGGGACCCACGGTGCAATGTGAGGATTGGTCAACTAGGGTGGCACTAAATTCGGGCAAGATGACTTTACTCCACTTTAATTATAGAAATGGGAGATGCTAGAGGTACATCACCTCTTATATCGAGGTGTCCATAATGGACACCGACGCCTCCTCATTGGAGGGAGGGTTGGTGGGGTCAGCACTCCCTCCAATGAGGAGGCGCTGGGTGTCCATTATGGACACCCTTGTGTAAGTGATGATTTACCACTAGAATAATCCTTATAGAAATAGTACCCGTGGAAACTAATGTTCGACAATTTTTTTTTCTTAGCAAAAATGAGTTTATGAACAATAAATTTTCGAATAATGTGTGATTAACAAAGGAAAAAGGTTTTGAATTTATATAAATAATATTTTATTGTGAGAATTTGTACTTAAAAATGAGGATGAAAAAAAATAGTTTTGAAATAATGTTTATCATAAATGGCCTATACACTCTAAAGTATTAATAAATATAAATTGATAAAAAAACTCATTTTTAAAAAACGTTCATGTATTATTCTAACAAACCTTCTGCTAAATCATTCAAGTCTCTTAGAAGAAGAAACCATTTGTTTAAAATAAATATATTTTCCCTATTTACTTTCTGAAGAAGAACTCTTTTAGTCTTTTTGTTAGTGTATAGGCACTTTCTAAGAAAACTGATGTAGACATGATAATTGTAGCATATTGTGCATTTAATGTGGGATACTAATTTTAGAAAGTCAAATTTTGCTTTATTAACTTATTTCATATAAAACAAAAAAATATTTTTTATTATCTAAATTTTATATATAAAGACATAATTCAATTCTTTAATGATGGCAACCGAGTACCCTCCCCTTCCCTCATCTTCTCAATCCCATCTTATTTTTTACGAGATAAAACGACTCGAAACATTTTATCATCCCTACATATCTAAAATTGACGTGTACGCATGCCTTTGAAAAATAGTTCGGTTTGCAAATGTATTACCATTTATAAATGCTTTTTTAAAAGTAACACTAAGCCCCTGTTTGTTTACCATTTTTCAAAACATTGTTTTCTACAGTAATCAATCTCCACCACACATTCAAATAATAAAATATTCTACACATAAATCGATAAAATTTCTTTTAATTTTAACCACACATTCTCCAAACAATACTATTCATTACACCATTTTCATCACAATAATGATAGACAAATAGGCACTAAATATCTATTTAAAAGTTCAAATATATTAAAATTTTCAAATCAAATGGTAGACATTGATTGGGAACAATACATGACTCTTGCATACACAATTGAAAACTAACAAACTTGTCAAATTATTTCAAAATTCAAGAATTGATTTCAATTTTTAATATATATATATATAATAAATAATTAATTGAAATTAATTATCCCTCACCGAATTAATAATATCTCCCCACCCCTCGCGGACCTCACCTACCTACCCACCTGTAAGATTTTATTTCAGAAATTGAAAACATTTTTTGAAGATTACACCTCCCCTTGATACCATTCCACCCACCACTTTACCCTACCCCATCCCTATTTAGCCCACTCCTATCAAATTTCCAAATCATTGTAGGTAATCAAGTTACTGACATATGTTATTCGCGACTAATTGTGATCAAATTTGTATTTAGTTTGACTAAGTGTGATCAGATCAAACTTAACTGTATTTGTATATGACCAAGTCACGATCGATCACAATTAACAAATAATTTCTCACAATCAATCACGTTAAACACATACATGGTCACATATAGTCACCACAAACAAACATGCACACGTTGTAGACCAACACCACAATTCCCAGCATCACTTCAATGCACCACCATTACCCCCTTCAACTCAAATTCATGACCATAAATACTATCTTCACTTACCCGTGTTATTTGTGACCAAATTTATTTTCATTGTGACTGTCCACGGTCAGGTCAATCTAATTCGTGACTGTACATAACCAAGTCACATACAATCACAGTTCAATTATAGATCGTCACAATGAAGATATAGTTGGTCACATCCAATTTTCGCCGCCACCATCGCTCTCAACAACGTCAAGAACCAAATGCGTACAACCTCACCACGACACCACCAACAACAAAACCATCATCGCCTACACCACCACTAATAGAACTACCAATGAACTATAGATCAGAAAATCATCACCACCAATATAATTGTAGAAAAGTTTATTTCTAGTGTTAACGTTAAAAATGTGTGGCTTCCTTGGATCAAATGTTCAAAGTTAAGTTTGAATAGGAAGATTTTGTGGAATTTGAAGCTTTTGGCGTTAACTTGTTGAATTTAGACATAAAAGGAATGCCAAAATTCTTAATAAGATAATGACAACCAATGCTATAATAGGGGCGGATCCAACACCTGGCCAGCCCCCTCAGCTGCCCCTGCTGGATCCGCCGAAAGTAAATTTTTTTTTGTTGATAATAGATATATGTTTTACTTACATAACTAGTCATTCATTTTATTTTGAAACTTCTCATGTAGCTTGTTTGGTGAGAAAGCACTTATACATACTTCATGTCTTGGGTTCGAATCCATTCCAACCAATTTATTATAAAATATTTTTAGTACTATACAATATTTGCCAAAATTGATTAATAAGGAGGGGACTTGAAGTTTCGAACCTGCGACCTCCATTTAATATTTTGAACCCTGGACTATTATGGCAACTATTGAAGCTTTAACAAGAAATTTCATACAATAATATATTTCAAGTTTCTGCGGTTTTAATGCAATTGTAAAATTTCACATCCATGTTTTTCCTTTGAATTATTCAAAACTTGGCCATGATGTAATTTGGTGAGGACGGCTAATTTTTATCACATAATTTTATCTGTTTAGTTTGTACAAAATAATTGTTACATTTAAATTTTAGGCCTTGTTGATTCCTATTTTTTTCAAAATACATTTTCTCTTCTTTTTAACTATACATTCTCCAATAAAATAATATTACACCCCATTTTTTATTTTATTTTTAACTACACATTCTCCATCAAATCACTATTTCAAAATGTATTTTTTTTGCAAAAATAAGTATCAAACGGGTTCTTAATATTTTATTGCGGTCGACGGGACGGTCAACAACCGCTCGTGCTGCGTTAAAATCCTGGATTCGCCTCTGCCGCTATTACAACAATAATGTCACCATCGCCATCGATAGCAACACTACTTGCACCACAATTTGCAAAACCACCCCCAAAAATTTATAGATCGAAAATGAACCATCACACCGAAAAAACAGGCGCGACTGTGCCAAATAATGTCACCATCGCCATCGATAGCAACACTACTTGCACCACAATT